TTTTCTAAGCTTTTAAAGTACTTCCAAATTAAAAATATAATTTAAAAAAAGTGATTGGTTTTGTCTGACAATTCATATTTTGGGTCTTGTTTGTTTGATCAGCAATGTGAGTTTTTAAAAGTAATGGTTAAATGTTCCAAATTAGTTCCTTTAAAAATTAGACATTTTCTACCATCTGTTTTATATAATCTGGAATTGTATGCTTGCACACACCCAAACTGATATGTCATTATTTTTACTTCACAGGAGCCATCTAGAACAGTTTCAGGCAGATACAAAAGGTAAGAATCCTTAAGTTATGACTTACAACATACTGTAGATGTGACTGTAATGTCTGTCTCACCATGGTTAACTAACTAGGACTGTTTCAAGCAGCTTTTTGAAAAATAAGAAGAAGAAATTACACTGTAGGCAGGAATGTAATGTCTGTCTAACCATACTTACTCTGACATACCCTGCAGCCTTTAAATACTGTGTACACCATGAATTTGTATGGGCCTGATGAACTTAGCAAAATAAAACTTAGAATCATTTTCCCTTATGTATTTAACATTGAAAATACACCTGTATTAGCTTGGACTATTATAACAAAATGCCATAGACAGGATGGTTTAAACAGAAATGTATTTTCTCATAATTCTAGAGGCTAGAAGTCAGAGAATAGAGTGCCAGTTTGGTCAGATTCTGGTCAGGTTGCAGACTCACAACTTCTCACTCTATCCTCATTTGGTGGAAGGGGCTAGCTAGGGAGCCCTGTTGCATCTCTTTTATAAGAGCATTAACTCCCCTTATTAGGGCTCCACCTTGCTGACCTAAGCACCTTCCAAAGACCCCACCTCCTGATACCCTCACATGGGGTTTAGTATTTCAACATATGAATTTGGGGTTACACAGACATTCAGACCATAGCAAGTCCGTAGCACCACCTCTAGACAATGAGTAATGCTTTTTATCAGAAAAAGTGTTTGAGTGTGTGCATATGTGTAGGGAAAAAATCAGAATTAGGTATGAGAAGTTGTTTAATGGAGATGCCTAGAATATTAGCTTTCTTCTTCCCTATTGAAGCCATAAAGGTTGCAGTAGATGTGGTCATGCATGTACTAGTAATCATAGAATAATTGTAAATCTTATCAAGTGTTTATAATGTCCAAGGTGCTTTACATAGCAATCTCATTCAATTCTCACAGTTACCTTATAAGGTACAAAATATTTACTTTCATAGGTGAGGGAAGTGGGGTTAAAGAGGTGGAATAATTTCACTGGGGTTATAAAGCTAGTCAACAGCAGAATCTAGATTTGAACTCAGGCAAACTGACTCCAGAATCTACATGCTTGCGCAAGACCATCTATCTGTAGATTTATACATGTAAAACGTTTGTTTTCCTCTATTTGTAAAAGTTTAAAATATTTGATTAATAGTATTGGTTATTCCATTTAAAATAAAGCATTGATTAACAGGAGCTCTAATTTTAATATTTGGTAATTTTTACATACCATGAATAGTTTAAACTGGAAAGACTCTTTTCTTTTGCAAGAACTCATTGCCAATCAAATAGCTATGATTTGGCCTACTTTCAGGCCACATTCTCAAACCAAAAAAAATTTTTATCATCAGTTTTGGTTTGGGGAATAAAGGTAAACTTCAGTAACTTGTCAAGTTTGTTGTATTAATCACACCATATTTCATTAAATGATAAACCTTAAATTATGATT